CCAGGCCTGCGTCTCTCATTGATTACGCGAGAAAGAGGGAAAATTCCGATCGTGCGTGCCTGGAAAGGTAGCGTAGGCGTGGCAACGCGTCGGCGTCTCGGCGCCTTATTCGTTGAAAACTTTGCGCAAAAGCACCGCCCCGGCCGCGCGAGCGCGGTGTTCTCGGCACGTGTGCGTGAAAGCCCAGCTGGGCTTTCGGAGGACCCGGCACGCCGGTGTAACGCTGTGGCCTCCGCGTGTACGTGTGCGAGAGGAAAGAAGAACGGGGAGGATGCCAGGCGGTTTCCCCGCCACCGCTGCTGCCGCCTTCCCTCGGGCCCTCCGCACCACTCGTCGACGGCGACGGCGCCATCATTCCCCGCCAATTTTTTTCAAATGCTAGCTCCCTCTGCTCGGTCGACGCCGGAACTGTCATCCTCTTTCTCTCTTCTATCACCGTTCGTTCCTCTTTCCGGCACGCTTTCTCTCTTCTACCATTTTACTACACCCCTTCACTGTCCCTCCTTCATGCCCTTCCATCGCGCTCGTTCGGCTTCGTTCACGTTTGTCCCTTTTCCATCCTCGTTCCAGCGATCGCTCTTTTGCTTTCTCCCGCTTTTCGTGCTCGAAGAACAACCGTGTGGAAGGGCATGCCGCGAAAAGGGACGGCAAGGACGAGAGCAATAAAGAGGGGGAGATTCTCGAGCACGGCGATAAGCGTCACCGTCGAGGGGTCTCCGTCTCTTCGTCTCTTCGTTGCGGGACGCGAGGGTCGATTTCCGGTGGTGGGAATTTTTCTCGACGTGGAGGCGACGAACACCAGTGCTCACCCTCGTCCCCCCTTCCTCCCCCCTCGTCTCTATCTTCGTTCGCTTTTCCTTTTGCAGTGCTGCAATCGACGACTCTATTACTTCCGCGAAAGGGAGAGAAAATGCAGCAAACGGAGGAAGATGGGGGAATAGCCGAGGGCTGTTTGACACACGGAGGAGGGGGAGAGGAGAGAAGGGGAGGAGAGTAGACGCGAGGTGATCGTGCAGCTGGTAAAGCAGACAGAACCTTCGTCCTTTTCTTCGTTAAGGGCAACTTGTGTCGCGCGTACCTGTTTAGCAATTCTCGAAATGCGACCGGTGCGATTTATATGAGAGACATCGTATACAATAGTACATCCCAACTATACATGACGAGGAGTCACATTTATATCACGTTACAAGTGCACTGTCCAATATATGTAATTCCGGTAGAATTTCAGCTGGTAGCTAACTATTGTTTTTTTTATATTCTCTCGAAATAATCTTTTTCTACATTAGTTATTGACCATATTAATATATGACCTATTAGTCTATTTATAGCCTAGGTGTAAATATCGTGGAGAACTTTGGTTGCATTTGATAATTATTTAATATCTATATATGTTTATATATAAATATTTATTTATGATATTTTTACACGTGTGTGTGTGTATATATATATATATATA